GTCAAAATATGATAATATAAAGGTATTTGATTTCTTAATTTATTTATTTCGCCTATATGTGCTAAATTTATGGTCTTTATTAAAAGGTATTTCTTAACCACAGTTGAGGCACTTTACATGCTGTTGGACCATCGGTGATTCTCTTGGAGATGTTACATTGTGGCTCCCATTTCCTTTTCAGATAGCCGTCCTTATTTCAGCTAACACTTGGGCTACTCTTTTACCCACAAATATGGGGATTGACCTTAACATTGTAATGCCATCACTGCTGAAAGGGCGAGCCTGTTTGGCGAGGGAGATTCGAACCCGCGACCCGCAGATTGCAAGTCGAGCTCCCTAATTACTAGACCATACCAGGCCACATTTAACCTACTTCTCGTAAATGACTTTTTTATATATCGTATTATTAAGCCTAAATTAATGCACACTAATATCTCGCTGTTCTAATTTCTAACAAATAAATATATTTACAACAGCAGTGCTTTTTAAAAGTCCTGATGCAAAAATACTGAAACATTTAGTACCTACATTGCTGCATCACTCTTATAGCGAACCCATGGCCACAAAGTGCGGAGCGTGTTTTTGAAACACAATCGGAGCACGCCAACCTCTAGATCACGCCCAGTCCAAGTCTCGAACTAGTTCCGTGTTCAAACACCATCTAGTAGAATAGCATTGTTTTTGAATTTAAATATTATTATTTCCTCACACTATCTTATTAACACAAAGGATATTCAAATCCTCGTCCCACCCTATTAGCCATAGGGGCGTTATAATATGACGGTCACTACCATTATTCGTTGGTAAAAGAATAACTCAAAAGTTGGCGGTGGGTGATGATGAGTAGCTGCCTTCCCTCTAGTCTTTCAATTCAATAGAAATTCACAACAAACCAATCTTTCGAATGCATGTTAGCCTTGGTGATAGCAAAATATCTGTTTAAAGAACTTAACCAATAAACTGTTACTTAAGCCACGATATGATTTTTTATCATATACATAAGTTTCCCAAAATTAAAACTAGTATTAGCTAAAAATAAAAATGAAGTTAGTTTTCCAACAAGCTCCAACTTAAAAACATTGGATCCATTTTTTTCGGAAACTATTTATGTTGAATAACGAATTATTGCAAACGAATAGATGATATCAAAATTTCAATCTCTTCTGAAAAACATTTTTATGTCTCCTCAGAGAGACATACTGTTTTTCTATTTTTTTCTTCTTCTTCCTTTCTTTCTTCTTCTTCCAAACACTTCTCAATCGACCGCCATTCCTTCATTTCACTGTGGATTAACTTGAAACTTTGTAGGGTTAAACCTTGGTCCAATAAGTCCAGAGAACTTTTTAATGTTTACATTTAGACCTTTTTAAGGATTTTATGTGTTCAAAGATCAAACAACCCTAAAATGTATATTTTTGGCTCCTGTGCGGTCATATTTACAATAGTCAAGATGAAAATTGGTACAAATATACGTTTTCGCGAAGTAAACATATTGACATACAAAAAAAAAATGGATTTGCTCATTCTGAGCCTTTTTAGGGGGGCAGAGCTCACGAAAAAGCATAATTTTGGGGGTTTTGGTCATTTACTCGGCCATATTTTAACCAATTTACATGGAATTTGGTACAAAGATACTTTTCTATAGATAACACACATTGACAAACAAAAATTTTGGAAATTTTAGGGTTTTTAGACACTTACCTCGCCGATTTCGGGCAATTTACATGGGATTTTGTACAAATATACATGTTTACAGGCAACACACAATGACAATCAAAAATACGAGATTTACACATTTTCAGTTAGTTTAAGGGGTCAAAAGGTAAAAAAGGCATAATTTTACGAGCTTTGGTCCTTTTCTTGGCCATATTTTGACAAATTTACGTGGGATTTAGTACACAGATACTCTTTGTACGTCCCAAACAGATATATAGACAATTTTAGAATGTTTGTCTTTTGCTCAGTTTTTCAGCGAGGAAAGCACAGTTTGGGATTTTCGTGAACTATTCATGTGTATGTCAATCAACCAACGTACATGGGATTTGATACAAAGATATCTTCTTGCAGATCACAAGCAGTGATATAGACAGTCTTCGATTTTTCTGATGTCAAAATTGGTCATATTGGAATTGTGTGGGGGAGACATCTTGTATTCATCCACAAATATTGGTCTCTTTAGTATTGTAAACGATCTTTTAAATAAAATAAAGAACGATATTATTGTTATTACGCAAGCTGTTAGCAACTATGTGTGAAAAAAGTTGTTTTTATACACACATTTTGTATTAATGATAGTAGAATACAAAAGTAGTTTCCGGAGAAATATGTTTGTAAAGTGAATGCTAAAAAATCGTCACCATAAAAAAATAAACAAATGGCAGCTTAAACATTATCATACACGAGCCTAATTATTTGTTTGGTTGTTTTAGAGCAAAGTCACAGTGGTCTATTTGTTGTGTCCACCATGGGGAATCTAACCCCGGACTTTAGCGTTGTAAGTCCGTAAATTTACCGCTGTACCATCAGGGGACAAGCTTAATTAATTTCTGTTAGTAGAGTCATTATATTATACGTATATTTAGATGACTTTTTAACCTCGATTTCGCGATGAAGAAGTATTGTCTTCTTAGGTACGAGTTGGTTTTGGTCAATTTATTATCTTCACTTGATAATTCTTGTTAAAATATTTCAAAATCTTCTTAGCATATCATGCAATTATGTACAATCATTACGTTTGAGCGTTTTGTACGTTGAAAATTTTCAGCCGCGGCATAGCGGCTCATAGAATGGTTCTGGGTTTTTCAAGTACAAACATTTAGCTCATAGTTCTGTCATCTCTTGACCGATTTGAGATCTAATTACATTTTCGGACTCAGGAGGTCAAATCTTTTCGATTGACATACTTGATCACGTCCATGGTCTCATAGAATAACATACTGTTGCGTCATCGAGTCACATGACTACTGTGACGCCACGTTCTAGAACTATCCTGTACTTTGGCGAATGCTCTAGTATTTACTGGATAGAGGGTAGGCTGGTATATAAAAGAGGAGAATGTAATGTGTGTATGGACAGTGTGTAATTGATCTGCGGTCAGAAGTATTATTGACGTTCGTTGATATAGCGTTTGTTTTAGCGCGATTGTTTAAGTTGAGTGTATCGGTAAAGTTATATTCGGAAAGAATAAACCAGTTTTATTAAGTAAAGACTTGTGTCGCTTAAGTTTCGTCGGAACGAAGTTACGGAAAATTAATTAACAACCGGAGACGTAACAATACTCTAATCCTGCCTGAAAGAATTTCAATTTCAGGATAGGCTGGTAGAGATCCTGATGAGTGACAAAATCGAATCGGGTATACCGCGGCCCACCCTTGGTATTGCTGACGCACAAAAATTGAGCTGACTAAAAGGAAAAAAAGGTCTCATAGATTAATTTACTCTACTCCTGCCTAAAATAATTTCAAGTACCGTGGCTATTGAGGATTCCCTCTTGTTAAAAGTTGAAAAGTGAAACACAAATGAGTTGTTAATGTATCTAAAACAACCACCTCCTGAAAGTTTATAATGCTAAAAATTCGGTTTCGATACTAGTGGTGGGAACAGCACAAATAGCTCATTGTGTCGCTTTGCGCTTAACAACAAAAACAAACTAAAGCAGCCTGTCCCCAGGTGAGTTAGGGGTACGTTTACGGACTTATAAACACAAAAATCTGGGATTCAATTCTCCGCGGGGTGACAGATCGCAGATATCTCATTGTAAAGCTTTGCGCTGAAAAATAAGAAGCAAATTAATAAAATAAAACAGACGTCTAGTGTCATCAAAAAAAAGATGACACTAGACGTCTGTTTTATTTTATTAATTTGCTGAAAAAATACAACAAACGTAAAAAAAGAAAAACGTTTGTTGTATTTTTTCAGTCAATTAATAAAATAAAACAGTCCTCTAGTGTCATCTTTTTTTACGTTTGTTGTATTTTTTCAGTCAACTCAGTGTGCTCAACACGACTTTTCCATAACGACAGCTTACAACAACGGATTTCAACGTCAAGACAGCATCGTTAGTGAAACAAGTGAAACCCAGGGTATAAAGTTTGCGAAGAAAGAGTGCTGTAATCCAACAACGTGCATCTGTGTGACTTTAGCCCTACTTTTTATCACTCTGGGAGCAGCAACTACAATCTTTTATGGGTGTAAGCAAAAAACTAATAATATGAATAACTAGTACGATAAAAATTGTTTCTTCTTTGTAAGAGAAATTTAATAATTTTATTGTCACATAGAATACTTATTTTAACGATATCGAAATTATAACACCGTTTTTCCCCTACGTTGGTTAGGGTTAACCACGACCTTCGTATTCATGTTCGGATGACATGTTTGACTGAAAGGACTTTTTATTTCATCGTAGGTAAACTAATAACTCAGTCAAAACATCGACATTTATGTGAACGTTGTGGAGTGTTTCTTTATGTTTGCATTTACTTTTCTGTTGTGGTTGACAAATCTTAAGTAAAAATGTTTTATAACTTAAGTAAATGTTTTCTTTACTTGTGACTTAAGAAGTGAGTAAATGTAACTCAAGAATTACGTAACTAACTACGTAACTTACGTAACTCAAGAATTACGTAACTCATACTGAGTATGAGACTTGAATATCTAAAATCGTTTCAACATAACAAAGCCACATGAGAACCACAGCTGATATAAAATCACAGTGGAACGGCATGTTTCAAAATTACATTTTGATATTGTTTGGGATTTTGTGGGTATTGTGAATCCACTAAAAACTGATCCTTTTAGAGAGAGTACGAAACAATCCTTCCCTAAATAAAATATTCATTCACTAAAATCATAAAGATGTGTTCAGATTGGGGGTTTTAGAATTCCCAAGATGGGGTTATTCCTTGTTCTTAATGGCGTTGAAACTAGGACAACACAGAAAGAGATTTGCAACAAGTCGTACTCCAGCCATGGCAAGCAAACTGTAAGAGTTGAGAATCTACTAACACGGAGGTCAAGGGCAAAAGCCGTTCATGTATCTCAGGCAACAATACTCAACATAATCAAGAAGGATCTCCATCTGGAAAAGCGACACAAGTCACATATACACAAATTACTTCCACGACATTCCGCTTCACCATTTCATTCCTCAAAAACCTGGCGAATGAAGCCGGTATTAATGCTATTGTATACAAAGACGTATATTTGGTTATTCCTCAAAAACCTGGCGAATGAAACCGGTATTAACGCTATTGTATACAAAGACATATATTTGGTTATTCCTCAAAAACCTGGCGAATGAAACCGGTATTAATGCTATTGTATACAAAGTCATATATTTGGTTATTCCTCAAAAACCTGGCGACTGAAACCGGTATTAACGCTATTGTATACAAAGACATATATTTGGTTATTCCTCAAAAACCTGGCGAATGAAACCGGTATTAATGCTATTGTATACAAAGACATATATTTGGTTATTCCTCAAAAACCTGGCGAATGAAACCGGTATTAATGCTATTGTATACAAAGACATATATTTGGTTAAATCGCCGGACGCAGCGCCTACTTATCTTTATGCAATTAAAATACACACCGATACTGCCGTCAGATAAAGCATGACCAGACGTAACGACATGGACTGCAACGAAGTCGCGAGTCTCCAAATCTTTTCAACTTATTGCACTCCACCTCTGTATTGTACTTTATAAACGCAAGAAACTCATTAAGTTACTTTTTTTTTACTTTTGATTCTATATAGAGGTTTGTGTGAACGTAGAAGTAACATTTTATAGTTAAGAAACAGAATAATATAATATAACAGTGAAAGAAAATGGTCAAATTATTTTGAAAATATATGAGGTTATCTGAACAAGAAAATAATCACTGGCCTCGTTTTTTGCTTGATGGTGACCTCGACCTCAATTTTTCCCTATCAATCACAACAACAAAAGATGAGGTCATACAACTTAGAGCCACGGAACGAATTTATTACTGATATAAAAAGCATAAAATGTGTTTAAATTCAGCGTTATAAAGAGTTGTGAAACTTTCACCTGAAAATTAAACAAATTCATATCATTATTGTAGACAGATATGTTTGAAAAGTATAGCAATGCACTTTAGACCGTGTTTTTGGGGTTTTTTTTCTAATCATCTGAAATTATAAGCAAAAGAAAATGAGGCCTTTTCAACTGTGTGAACAGCACATTTTAAACGTTTATACTTGTAACGGTAGCGTAAGATCTAGCTTTAACTGAGATCTGGTAGAACGCATCTGGTGGTATTGTTACGTCTCCGTTTGTTAATTAATTTTCCGTAACTTCGTTCCGACGAAACTCTAGCGACACAAGTCCTTACTTAACAAAACTGGTTTATTCTTTCTGAATATAACTTTACCGATACACTTATTTTCAACAGTCGCTCTATAACAAACGTTTTAACAACGAACGTATTTTAACAACAATACTTTCTGACTGCAGTTCAATTACTCACTACCTACACACAAACTCTACACTGTTCCCGTCACGTTGTGAGCGTCTTATATATATACCAGACTAACATATATCTAGTAAATGCTAGGGCATTCACGAAGGTTCGAGAGAACGAGTGGCGTGAAACTAGTCACGTGACCTCGCTGACGCAACAGTATTTTTGTGTGCACCTTTTAGGTAGTTATCGCAAATAATTAGTTTCGGTCAGGAAATGTATTGCCGAACAAACAAACAAACACAATCAAAGCCACGAGTGCACTGAATGTAAAATATCACCTTTATTCGAGATATTTAGCGGTAGGTCTATCTATATCTAAAAGGGCACTGCTTCACATACAAAATTCTATAATCACCCTTCTCAGAATGCACGTGATACCCAAGTCACTGATGGTCATTAAAATAGAATAATAAGAGAAATGTATAACCTTCAGGTATCACCGACCCGCCAGTCGAAAAGATCGATACCTACCATTTGATAGTGTATCCTACATTACACTGATCTTTGCTACAAAAAAAAAAAAAAAAGACGCACGTGATACCATAGGGAATAGCACAGGACAATATATAACTAAAGAAAAAATAACTTAGCCACATTTCCTGACCAATATTCTATTGTTAAAGATACACAAATGGATAGAAAAATATATGTTTGAAAAATCTGAAAACATCTTGTTCACCTTATTAACTAAAGAAGATAAGAAACAATAAATGTGCTTATGCATATAATACACTTATAATAATGTATTGCAAACAGTTGTTTAATGTTTTATAGCAACGAATTAAAGCTTTTTCGAGCCTCTTGAAGCCATTAGTTTATTTTATTTCCTGTGTTTATAATGTTATCCTATATTGGTTTCTCAGAATTAATTCTTTCTTTCTTTTTTATTTTTTGAACTGTATTTTAAAATCATCTTAAACGTTTCTTTCCTTTTTAGTGGACTATCTTAATGCAGAGAGGCTGAATGGTACGTAGTAATTTATTATTACAAAACTTGTCAAACTCACCCCAATTATGTTGGTGATTATCTTTAAGAAGTACTATATTTATTATACAAGATTAGGCTAAGTTGAATTATTCGATTGTTAACCTAATCAGCTTACTACTGAGAAACATTATATTACTAACCTAATCGGTTTAGTACAAAGATGTATTAGATTGTTAGCCTAATCGGTTTATTGTTTGTTTGTTTTTTAATTTCGCGCAAAGCTACACGAGGGCTATTTGTGCTAGCCGTCCCTAATTTAGCAGTGTAAGACTAGAGGGAAGGCAGCTAGTCATCACCACCACCACAACTCTTGGGCTACTCTTTTACCAACGAATAGTGGGATTGACCGTCACATTATAACGTCCCCACGACTGAAAGGGCGAGCATGTTTGGTGGGACGGGGATTCGAACTCGCAACCCGCAGATTGCGAGTCGAGCGCCCTAACCACCTGGCCATGCCGGACCTAATTGGTTTATTACTCGTAATTATTATATTATTAGCTTAATTCGGTTGAGTGCTGAGATTTATTAGATTCTTAGCCTAATCGGTTTAGTACCCTCGACTTTTATTTTACATTTAAAAAACGATGTTTCTATCAAAACATGATTATTCGTAAAAAAAAGAAACAAAAATTACTTCATGGGACTACAAAAAAAAAGATATATATATATATATAAATTGTTTTATTTAGGTTTTATTTATATAAATTGTTTTATTTAGGTTTTATTTATATAAATTGTTTTATTTAGGTTTTATTTATATAAATTATTTTATTTAGGTTTTATTCATATATATATATATAAATCGTTTTATTTAGGTTTTATTTATATAAATTATTTTATTTAGGTTTTATTCATATATTTATATAAATTGTTTTATTTAGGTTTTATTCATATAAATTGTTTTATTTAGGTTTTATTTATATAAATTATTTTATTTAGGTTTTATTCATATATATATATAAATCGTTTTATTTAGGTTTTATTCATATAAATTGTTTTATTTAGGTTTGCTTTTAATTTTGACTAGCTCATCTATCTATTTGTTTTTATGTTTATATTTCATTCACTGCCTGATATGGCATGATGGTCAGGGCGCTAGACTCGCAAACTGCTGGTCACGGGTTCGAATTATGTCACTGAATGTGCTTGCTCTTGGGGGCGTTATAATTCTGTATGTACGTTATGCGACGATTAGGCCTAATGAATATAATAATAATAATATTTGTACAATAGCGCTAACTGGAAAGCTAAGTCACAGTTATGTGGGAAGAAATGACAGTAAATAGAACAAACTGTTTCAACTAAAACTGCGTTTTACAGCAATTTTATTTTACTTCACGTAATGGTATTGTTACGTCTCCGTTCGTTAGTTAATTTTCCGTAAATTCGTTCCGACGAAACTTTAGCGACATAAGTCCTTTCTTAAATAAAACTGGTTTA